CTGAGTTTTAGAGCAACCTGCCCTTGGGAGACTTCAAAGCTGTTTGCTCGAACTTATCAAAGTCCACATTGGCTATATGGGGTAGCATAAAACCACTTTGCCTTCCCATCCCGTGCTGGCCTTTAATAAGATAAAATACAGTTTAAGGTAGGAGAATGTACACAGCAGGCTGCTAAGCGAGCACCAGTGATGACAGTGAGAGAGAATTTGTAATCCTTCAATAACTGTAGTAAAATAGGACTTGTTCCATTAAAACATGTACATGCTGTGTCTGTATTAACGCTATGAAATACTGCACATCTGAAATTTGGGATTAAGTTTGTAACACACATCATTCCAAATAATTTTTTTCCTTGTTAGTAACCTTGTAATATCACTAGTTTCATACCAGCCCTCATTATGATAAGGATGATACAGGTTTGTATTGATTATATTACAGTTTGTAAGGAAATTTTCTTGACAGTTAAAGTCATGGTGCAGACTTGTTTGGGTCGTGGTTTAGGGTGCATTTTAAGTAACTGTTCAGTTAAAATGGTACAGATATATTTCTTTTTTTTGAAGTAAGTAGGAGTAGCTCATGAATGACACTATGAACTTTCAGTTCTTAAAAAAAAAAAATTCATTATAGTATGCTTAATATGCACTTTTTCATTCAAACAAGCCTGATTCAAAATGTCACTTAACTGGTATAAGATATGGGGGAATGAGAAATTACATGTAATCTGGTTGGCTGTGGAAATAAGGATTATTAATAATATACATTATTAGGAAAAGTAAAGCTTATTGAAATATTGTACTTGTTGCAGAAATAAATTCCTAAAATGACTTGATTTAGTCAAGTCACTTCTAGGAACAGTGGGTTGTAGCAGAAAGAGATGTGGACAATTTGCAGACACAGTCTCTTCTAGGACTGACCTGTGCCCAGTACAGTGTTAGAAAGTGTAGTTCTTCTTGATTTACAGCCATCACTTAGAGCTACCTAATAGCTACCTAAATTCCTAAAAAATCTTAAAGCCTGAATAATATCCACAGGATTAGAATATAAGTATTTCTAAAGTACTGTAATCTAGGGGCTAGACAATGCTGATTCAGTCCACAGCTCTGGACTTAAATTCTTTTAAAGCAGTTTAAATTCTTAGTTTTAGGCTGGAGCTTGTGGCCACAGTCTTCTCCTTACTAGTACTTTTAATCTAATCCAAAGATGTAATTAAACTTTTTTAGGAAAATCCCACAAATTTATTCATCTATAATACAAGTGATGAAACTGAACCATTCAAAAACTTTTAAGTATAGCCATCAGCTTTTCAGCCATCTGCTTTCTTGCTAACAATAGGGTAGAAGAAAATGTCTTGTCTTTTTATGAAAGATGTTGCTCAAAGTGTCAAGGGTAAATCTGAGGGTAACTGGTTAAGATTCAAAAACCCTCTCTTTTGGGTTCAGATACCATCTTCCAGTATCTGGAAGTGTATAATACCATTGTGGGATAGATTCCTGTAGAAAACTCAGAAGAAACTTCAGTTGTGTTTTAAAAAGCCGTATAATTTGTGATTAGGAATAAAGTTTGTGTTCTATTATTTCAGAATTTTTACTTTGCACCATTATTATGTATTTCAGATTGCGATCCCTGGTGAACTTGTAACCCTTTTCTTGGATCCCCAAAATAGACTTTATCCTCTGACAATTTCATCACTTTTTCACTTAGCACTTCATTAAAATTGTGACTTTAAAATCTGTTTTACTTTCAGCTGAGAATATACCATATTCTTCAGACTGATTAATAAAATTAATGAATTATCAGATTAAACATGACAAATTAAAAATGTAATTTTTTTTTTAGTCCTTGAATATTTCTTAATGTTGTAGCAAATTTTTAATTCTTACATAGTTGTATCATTCTTATCAACCGAGCAGTCTTTCTTATTATTATTGTTGAGACAAATGCCATCTCAGAAAACTCTTGCATTTAAAGGAATTTTCATTAATATCTTTACCCATGTTTCATCATGACTTACTTTTGGGTGGAAGTGAAAAGAGAAAGTTTCTTCACTTTCAAAAAAATCACTGTGATAAAAAGCCTTTAAGACAGTGAGAGCGAGTGCACCCTCAGCAAGTTTGCTGATGTCACGAAGCTGAGTGGTGCAGTTGAGGGACAGGGTACCATGCAAAGAGACCTGGACAAGCTCAAGAAGTGGGCCCATGAGAACCTCATGAGGTTGAACAAGGCCAAGTGCAGGGTACTGCACCTGGGTCAGGGCAATCTCCAGTATCAACAAAGGCTGGGGGATGAAGGGATTGAGAGCAGCCCTGCTGAGAAGGACTTAGGGGTACTGGTGGATGAAAAGCTGGACATGAGCTGACAATGTGTGCTGGCAGCCTAGAAAGCCAACTGTACCGTGGGCTGCATCACAAGAAGCATAGCCAGCAGGTCAGGGGAGGTGGTTCTGCCCCTCTACTCCACTCTGGTGAGACCCCACCTGGAGTACTGCTCTGGAGCCCTCAGCACAGGAAAGACATAGAACTGTTGGAGCGGGTCCAGAGGAAGGCCTCAAAATTGATCAGAGGGCTGGAGCACCTCTCCTGTGAGGACAGGCTGAGAGAGTTGGGGTTGTTCAGCCTGGAGAAGAGAAGGCTCCGGGGAGACCTTATTGTGGCCTTTGAATACTTAAAGGGGGCTTATAAGAAAGATGGGGACAAACATTTTAGCAGGGCTTGTTGGAATAGGACAAAGGGTAACGGCTTTAAACTAAAAGAGGGTAGATTTAGATTAGATATAAGGAAGAACTTTTTTACGATGAAGGCAGTGAAACACTGGCACAGGATGCCCAGAGAGGTGGTCGATGCCCCATCCCTGGAAACATTCAAGGTCAGGTTGGACGGGGCTCTAAGCAACCTGGTCTAGTTGAAGATGTCCCTGCTCATTGCAGGGGAGGTTGGACTATGTGACCTTTAAAGGTTTCTTGCAACCCAAACTGTTCTATGATTCTGTGATCTTTGATATCATCAGTTTAAAACATAGACTGGGAGTATGGAAGGAGTCATTAAGCTTTGTCTTTTAAGCCACAGGGCAGTTGTCTGTCAGTTTTTGCATTCATATCACATAAGAGTCGAGGGAATTTAGCAGTGACAATAAAATAACTCAGTGCTCAGTGTAGGAGGAGAAATGATGGACTGATACCTCAAGCTAACACATCTGTGATCAAAAACTGTATCATAGTACAAAACCAAAGTAGTCTATTTTACTTAGCAAAAGATAATTGGCACTCAAGATAGCAGGATATTTCTGTCTCATGGCATGCAGGCCAGGCCATAAATGCTGCTTCTTCCCACAGTGGGAGCTCAGAGTCACTGCCTCACCTTTACACAAGGTGCTCTGAACTGCTGTAGGTGAGGAAGCAGCTCCCACTGAACTCCTGAAGTTGCCTTCTCACTGCTTGTACATAAGTAAAGCGCCGGTTCTGCAAGGCAGCAATGAAGGCCTTCATGCAGGCTCATGCACATAGTGAAAATTTCATTCAGAATGCAAAAAATAAATGCATTGGATAAAAACGATGGTGTGCTGCTGCTGACAATTTGTAAGTGGCTAGAAGGTATGCTGCTGCATCCACTCCCCTTGGTGCTCTGCCCTCCAGAACTGATCCAGGTCTCATGACAGCAGTTAGTAAAGCTGGACCAGAACTCATGCAAGCATGAAAAAAATAGCGGACTGTAAAAAATTTAAAGGTCTGTTTTACATTAGTGTATTTCTACATTTCCTCTGGAAATGGCTACCAGCGCATCCCTTCCTAAAATTAAGGCAATATAGAAAACAGTGGCTGAAGTAACTCCTAGAAAAATCCAGCAAAGATGTAGCCCATACTCATGAGTTGAGAACTTTTCTCTTTTTTTTTTCTCGACTGCCTTTCGTCCACGCATCTCCAGGGTTCTGCAGATAGATTGAAAATTACTGGTTTAAAGCAGTGGTTCCCTAGTTATGGTCTGCAAGGTCTTGATCTGCAGTCTTTTTAAATATACAGGGTGTTCAATTATGAGTTTGATGATAAGGATGCATGAACAAACATTTTGAGTATTTGATAGTGATCAAAAAAATTTTTTAAATGTTTGCCTAAAATGCAGCTTTGCCCAAATATTCCACAGCATACTTATAAAATTGATGTGGGAGATGTTTGTGTTGATAAGGTCAAGAAGTTGTCTGAAAGTAGAGCTGGTCATTCCTTTAGAACCAAAGTTGCATACTAGGTGATTATATATGTGTATGTTTTGACTTGACTATAGATTAACAATGGTTTGTATAATTCTACAGAACTTTAATATTGCTTGTGAATGTAAAAAGGCAATGTAACACAAAGATGGCCATGGTTGTTAATGGCTTGTATTAGCTGGAAGCTATAAAATCATCCTAGTACTCTGTTAGTGCTGGAATAATAATTTACCCAGACAATTACCACATGGTGGATTTTTTTTTTGCTGCTCTAATTCAGTGTTATTAATAATGAATAAAATTGCAATTTTCTCAGGTTGCTAGGGGCAGTGGGGAATTATTTCAATGAATATTTCAGCACATTAGTTTAATCATAGTTCCACAAAATTCAAGTGGGCAATATTTTATACTTCTAAGTTCAGTCTGCTAAGGGACCATAGTCATTAAATTGCAAACTATTTGCACTGAGGTCCATTCTATGATTTACAAGCCTTGTTAAAAACACTGTAAAAGAAAGCAAGCTGTGCCATTAATACTTGTAATTTGATGCTGCATTTGTTAATGGGCTCAGTGTGATTAATGTTTTTAGCAGCAGGCAGAACATTTTGAGACAGGCAGTGCTGAGGCTTATAATATATAAGTGCATGTAAAGAAACGGTAGAATATTGTAAGTTTTAGTAATATATGTTTTTACAAGATTGTATTCCTGAAACAAAAAAGCAGCAGTGAAATTATACTATAATGTATGTAAATACAGTTCAAGCTGTGGTAGGTGCTGATGTGTGTGTTCTTTATTTCATAGCCAACTGCATGACTTCTGGCGCTTGGATTACTGGGAAGACGATTTACGCCGGCGGAGGCGATTTGTTCGCAATGCTTTTGGGTCTACTCATTCTGATGCTCTCCTAAAAGCTGCTGTGGAATATGGTCAGTACAAACTCCTGCTTGAAATTATAGCTTGTGATGTTTTCTTGACGTCCATGAATCCCTAAGAATAGTGTCTCTTCTTGTCTAAGGACAGTGCTGAGAATTCCTAGGACAACATATTCTTAGAAAAGGAATTCTTTCAATTCTTTCACTTTAATGAACCAGAAGACTTGAGCTTGTGGGCTGTTAAATTCTCTGATCCCCAAGGGATTCACATTATACCTCTCTAGCATTCCCAGACGCTAATTTTGAGACACTGGTAAAAGTAACCGAACTTGTCTCTCCGGAGTGACAGAACGAAACTGTTAGGCCGTCAAACTAATGTGTCGTAATAGTTCCATTGGAGACCTTTCGTGAATGAGGAATTAACTGTTTTTAAAAAATATCAGAAGTTTCATCCTGGCATGTGTAATCTCAGCCAAAAGTATTTTTTTCTGCAAATCACGGAAAAAAATAAGAACTTGTTTAAAAGAATTTTTTTAAGGGTACTTGTGATTTGAATAGTGAACTGACTACGTAGGAGCTTCAGTCTAGGAACTTAGGGCTTAGATGATGTTTGATTTTTATGGAGAGGTAGCTGAAGTATAAGGGAAGAAGGAGGAACATGCTTACAAATTCCCTTACATTATCTAAAATTTTCGTATGTTTAGTGACTTCTGTACAGCAGACTGACCCTGAAGACTCTAGAAGTCTAAAGCAAATTAGCAAATTTATTTCTCAGTTTTAAGCTGGGGTACCTCTAACATATGAAAGACAGGAATTTTTTAAAGAATATTAAGATGTTTTTCTGTCCTTTTTTTTAATGTAGTACTGAAACATAAATCCTGGGGTTCTTTAAAATTTAGAAGTAAAAAATGAAAGTAATCATACACAAAGCAAGTTGAACCTTTCAGCTGATGCGTCGCCAAAGGTTAATGTTGCCAGAAGTTCTGAATATGACAGATACAAAGCTAATTCTGTGACCTGCAACTTTCACCAACTTTGCAGGTTGTTGAGGCAAATAGCTGGGATTCAAACAAGGTTAGACATATAAATGAATATCCGTGTATGCAGTTAGACTAGCTGGTGTAATTTAGTACTTATTTAAATATGAGGGCTATTATGTGCAAGATTTCAGGTCATAAACTGTTCATAAGTTGGGTTAAGGAAGACATTTCTCCCAGCAGGCTATAGTATTGAATATTTGACAAAGGGTTATTTTCTCCACATTCTTCCAAAACGTCAAAATAGAGATGTTATTAGAGGCAGATGCAAAACTGTGCTAATTACTGTGTTGCTTTTGTAAGGCAAATAATCATCAAAACCACTGGCTTTATGCATTATACAGGCAGAAGAACCCCTAAAAAATATTCTTAATATTCTATTAATATTTTTAATTCTGGTATTAAACTAGCATTAAAACAGGAAAAAATCTGGTTTGTAAAGTACTGCAGAGTTTTAAGCCTTGATACTATCTTGGTTTTAAAATAACAGGAGCTTTCCGTTTACTTAGATGGACTTTGTTTCATGCCTTTACAGCAGGCATGTTGTATCTTTGGGATAAGATACTTTACACTCAGACCATAATGGAAACGGCTTTGGGCTTTTTATGAGAACTATAATACAAGTTGCACTTAAACAGTTTCAGCACGTTGCAAAGATTGCCTCCGTCTATGTAGTTTCTGTGTTCTAGTATTTTCGTGCAGGTGACAGCTGCCTGGTAGTAGAGCTAGCCTGCAAGACAAAGCTACAACGAAAAGAAACAGAAAAACTGAATTAGTTTTAGTTTCATATTGGATTATTTCTCTATAATTTCATGCTACTCACCTGTTAGTGCATTCAACATACAGGAAAATTAAAGATGGGAATGCGTTTATAGGTGGTACACATCAAACTTAGTGGTTACCTAAAAATTGCAATAGACTGAAGGTGTCCTGTTTGCAGAATTAAAATAAATAATTCTGACTTTTCACATATATATTAAAATTAACACATGGAATTTTAAAACAGCATGCATTAAAGTTATAATTCATGCACTCTATCTAGATGTACTTACTTCTCAGAGGCTTAAGCCTTTGGATTTTAATACTGAAACTTCTAGCTGACCTTTCTCTAGAAGAAAACATCCTTAACACTGATGTTATTTTTATGCCTCTTGGTGTTACTAATGAGTTGAATAATTTATGAGGTTGTCATGTGAAAAGGATTTGGTGCAGTTTGATGTACTCTTAGCCTCTGGTGTTGGAATGTGATTAATAAAGAGCTGGAGGCAGATTTTTTTCCATAGGGCTTAACTTTCATTGTGTTTTTTTTTTTATTAGCTTTGTTTTGATAATTTTGTTTGGAACAGTTTGATAGTAAAATGCCCCTGGCTTCCAAAACTAAGCATGATATCATACTACAGAAAGAATTTAAAGCATTTAAAAAAATCATACTGCATAGTTTTCCAGTAACAGATTTTTTTCCTGACCTCAGATGCTTTGTTTGTGAGAAATAAACTATTCATCAAAGCAAAATTTGTTGGGCTTTTGTTATATTAATAGCAAATTTTCATCTTGACTGATACCTCTAGCACAAGTAAAGCTATTTTGAGCATCAGTGAAATAGTGGAAACATCTTACAAGTTTTTGTTATCTACATTGACTGTCAGTTATCATTTAGGATTTTGTGCATAAATATTGCAGTGGAGGAATGTTTAGTCAAAGCCTAAGTCAGCAAGCTCCTCAGTGTCTACGATCAAAGGCATCAACTTAAATAGGTCTGATCAGGCATTGCAGAAGAGGGCAGGCAGTTTCAGCTGAGCAAAAATCACAGAGCAAAGATGACAAAATGAATCAGTCATTTCTTTGGCAGTAAATAATAAGATATGCTGAGGATTGCAGATGAGAGAATTTCCAGATTCCTTGGAGATGTGCCTGCTTAACACCTGATTTATCTAAGCATGTGCAGCCATCAAGATATGACCTTGATAAATAAAAAAGTGCTCTACAGCTACTCTACTATTAAATCAGAGTTGATGTTGGATGTATGGATACTGTAACTATATCGTACTCGCAGTCAAGGAATAGAAGAGTTTTGGAAATGAAAACTATGTCTGTGATCTATATGTTTGTTTTAGAGAAGTAACAAAAATATTAAATTCTACCTTAAAGAGCTAAACCCCAAAAGTTTTAATTTTAGCTAAGAGACTTCTTCCTGTAGGAAACATTATGCATTATCTACTAGCAGGAAATAGTATTCTCTTAAAAACATTTCTGCTACAAGACAAGTGGGTGAAGCTTCTATTTAACTACAGGCTGTTAGTCAGCCATTGTATGCATGTTCAGATGCCTGGTTTTGATAAAATATAGTATACGTACATAGGTGTATGCATGTGTGCCTATATAGAGATAACATGTATGTTCAAAGTACCTGGCAAGCAAAAAATACTGCAGTGAGAATTTATAACATTTTTCCATGGCTATATACAACTGTGTGAAAAATTATAGCTTATTCCTATGCCTGTGTACTTAACTGTCCTTTGAGACTGTAGGTATTTTGGAGTCATAGCAGCATTTGCAATAGATGGACTGGAGAATTTTCCCCTTTGGATTATTCTCCATTTCTAAGTTTTTATGTTAGGCATTGGATTTGTTTGCAATCTGTTAAAATGACTTTCATATTGGATTTAAAATTCAAGCATAATTATTTCAGCATTGTATCTGCTGTGCCCTTTTGTTTTACTTAAATTCTTACTTGAAGAGAAATATAGGATCATTTGTCCCTTTTGTGAAGCTGGAGGGATATTACTTGCTGTATTATCAATGTGCAAGCTATAATCGGGTTTTGAACTACCTGGAAACTTCTAGTAGAGTTTTAATTTTATAGTGTCAATGGATTTTAAACAGTTCTTATTTTAAGCTTAGATGGAGTTTCAGTGTAATTGATTAAATTGTAGAAGAAAATTAAAGGAAGAAAAAAAAAAGATTGTATTAAAGATTATGAACTCTACTTCTCTTCCCCAAATTTTACTACCAATAAACACATGAAATATGCAGATATGACTCAATTCACAGCGATTCTGTACATGTGGTGAAAGAACTGTCTCTTCCAGTTAATCACCTTAACAGTTTACAGTCATTGGAGATTAGTACAGATGAGACACTGCAGTACCACCCTGACAGTGAGACAGAATAGTGCTCCACAAAAGTCATCTTAAGAGCACAATAGTTAGTTTATTAAGCCTTGGTCCTTCAGTCTTTAAAGATTGTGGTCTACAAACCGTTTGCACATAGAGGGGGTCCAAGAAAGGCCACATTTTCTAGTCCACATTGAAGGAAAGGGACGTAAGTAACTCAGTGCCTGTTTTCTAAACATAGATATGTAAGCTGGTCAGATGTTTCTAGTGTCTGTGCTCAAGAATATTTGGCCTGTTAAGCTGATTATCATGACAGATCCTGAATGCTTAGAATGAAAAAGGAAAAAAAGAAGAAGAAGAAAAAAAGCCTTCATAATGTAATATGTAATACATTCAGGTTTTGAAACAAAGCTACAGATATGCCTTATATGTGCAATATGGCAATTGCTTTTGAACTTGCATATTTTAAGTTGCTCATTCCATTATGTATTTGGACATCTAATTAGCAACCTCATTTCAAGAGTGGTTCTAGCTGAAGCTGACTGTGTATGACTCCTTCTGGGAGTTGTCGTTAGTGCTCTAAGTTTCAGCAAATGCTGTGCGGGCTCATCATCAGAAACACAGTTTCATTATACAAACAGAATTAAAAAGCATCAGGTTTTGAAATCTGAAATGTTTAAATCTGAAATCTACTTTCATGAAAGCAGCTGGATTTTGATAGACTTTCAAAGAATTGCAGGCAGGATTCCTTCAGGCTGCTGAAGGACTTACATTCCCAGAACATTTAGCTTCAAGCAAGTGCTACCTTAAAACAAAGACTATGCGGGTTCCCTGCTATGAAACTGGGAGTCTGAAATTCATGGGAACCCATACTCAAGCCAGGAACTGTCTTCAGAACAAGGAT